GTTTGAGGATTTAAAAAATGGCATAGCTTAGATATAAACAGACAAATAATAAGAGTACAACACTGTATGCATAATATGGTAGGTATAAACAATACTTATAGTATGATCATATACAATATGATCCCACATGCGTTTATGGATATATAAGAAAGTAGCCTGGAGGCATACCGACCAAAATGTTACTTGGTATTATGACCAAGGCAGGCACTAGGGTGGGGGAAGTGAGGTGCCTGGGACACACAGTGGGAGGCACTCACTCTCAAGAACAGAAGCTGCACTTGAGCTTGAGTGCCTCCTTCTATGTTGTGCCCTCGGTGCCTCACTCATCTTACCAGAGTCTCTTCCTGGTAGGGACAGGGCTGCTGGGTCAAGGGCACTTTCCCTTTCTTATTTTACACTTAGACATATGTTCCAGTTCCTTGCTACTCCAACTGTGGTACGTGGACCAGCAGCATTAGCATCACCTGGGAGCTTGTTTGAGATGCAGAATCTCAGCTCTGCCCAGACCTCTGGATCAGAATCTGTATTTTTAACTGAATCCCAGGGAAATTGTGTGCAAATTGAAGTCTGAGAAGCACTGGGGTAGCAGACACCAAACCCAGTTCCTATCCTCTTATGGAAGGAATATTCAGACAGCTGATGTCATTGCCCCAGTGGGTGGGGCACACAATGCCTGTCCTTTAGAGGACTGTGGTCTTTGCTCAGAGACTGAACCTCAGCTGGTGAAGCAGTCAAGGTTCAGCCTGATGGAGGAAAAGCAGGTGATTCCCTTCAGGGCAATGTTTAAAGAGAAGAGAAAGGCTAGTGGGTCTGAAACTGGGGAAAAGAGCAAGACAAAAAAGTGCTTATATTCAAATCAAGGAACTCAAGTCCCGTAGGAAAAGAATAACTTAGTATACTATAAAAAAAATTTTTTTCCCCCAAGAGATTTTAGAGAAATCTGTTATAACAGTGAGAAGCTTGGATTAGGTGAATTATAATTATAATTATACGAGGGCAGAGAAAATATAGGGTGAGGTGAACAAAACACTCACCTCCTTGTCTTCCTCTACTCATAAAAGGGTTAAAAAAACCATCTGGCTGGGCCGGCTGAGTGGTGCATTGGTTAGGAGTTGGCTTGGAACACCAGCTCTGAGCAGCAGGGCCCCGGTTCAGATCCCACATGGGCAGTGACGCTGCGCCCTCTACAGCTAAGATGGTGAACAACAACTC